CACTTGGGTGGGTTGGGTCACCATGAGATTTATTTATTTATTTATTTTTTAGGGCGGGCTGTACTTAAACAAATGTGGGCGGGTTGGATGAAGTGCCAATTCAAAAACAAAATGCTCATCTCTGGGGGTGGGGGTGGTGTCGATGTTGACGGGCGATGTCAATTTTCATAATTTTATGTAGAGAAAAAAGGAAAAAACGGCGGGGGGAAATGAAGGGGAGTGGACTAGGAAGCATAAAAGGAGGAGGAAGAAGAAGAGGAGGCGGCGGAGGAGGAGGAGGAAGAAGAAGAAGAAGAGGAGAAAAAAGAAGAAAAAGAGGCGGAGGAAAAAACAAAGGAAGAAGAGGAGGAGGAGGAGAAGAAGAAAACAATGATGGTGATGAATAGGAGAGAAGGAAGAAGCAGTGGAGAAGAAGAAGAAGAAGAAGAAGAAGAAGAAGAAGAAGAAGAAGAAGAAGAAGAGAGGAGGCTCGCATCTCTCTGAAGAAGAAGAAGAAGAAGAAGAAGAAGAAGAAGAAGAAGAAGAAGAAGAAGAAGAAGAAGAAGAAGAAGAAGAGAGGAGGCTCGCATCTCTCTCTCTCTCTCTCTCTCTCTCTCTCTCACACACACACACACACACACACACACACACACACACACACCTTGACTCACGATGGCAGGCTCGCACGGTGTTGCAGCAGCAAGGGACGTCTCCCTCGACTAAATGCTGCTGGCATTGGATGGCGCATCTTTAAGTGTGAAAAGGGCATGGCAGGGTGGCATGGCGCCAGGAGGGAGGCTTCACACCTGTGCCAACTTCAAAGCCGGGGGTAGGTGAGCTGTGAAGTCTTCCGCACGCACCGTTCGAGCCGCCCCCCAAGTTTGAATTGCGGTCAATCTTAGCCGTCGATCAACGAAGATCGGCACCTAAGATTGGCCGCTTTTTGTTTCGTAAAAAGAGGGTCCCAGTTCCTATCCCGGCAGGGTCTGCGAGGTCTAATAAGCAACACAGCCCCCCCCAAAAAAAACATCCCGCGCTGGGGGGAACGGGGAGCCAACCAGGACGGACGACCGGCCGGTCCAACTGGAAGGCTCCCGGTTGGGGAAGGGGTCCCTGTTCCAAACCAGGGACCAACACTGCACCCAACTGTAATTCTGCATGATTTTACTCCGTTCATCTTATTGCAACTGGATTCAAACTCGGGTCTGTATTCCAACACTTCATGGGTGTACCAACTGAGCTACGCCCATTTACATTCTCCCTTTGGTTTTCTTTTATTTTGTCATTACCAATGCCCCATTTCATTCAGTCTGAATGCCTGTGAGTTTGCTCCAATACAAGCACATAGCAGGCCCATTTGGATGAAAAGACAACGCATGGCTGTTTGCAAAGAGGTCACAAGCTTGAATCCCGGTCGAGTACACCCTGAAAGTTGAAATTTTGATCCAGAGTTGATTACAAGGCCAACCCCTCATGATAATAAGTTGAAGAGCAAAGCTTTGACCGGCTCTTCATTCCCACTTGACAACCAGCTCAGGGAGCGACGGAAAGATATCAAGAGAGAGAGAGAGAGAGAGAGAGAGAGAGAGAGAGAGAGAGAGAGAGAGACTGAGACGTAGAGAGAGAGCCACATAGAGAGAGAGAG